CAGCAAAATTAATTCTGTCGTCTTAAACACTGCAATTAGCACTATATGTTGGAAGAGTTTCAAGAAAAAATATGGAGCTGTTTCAGAGAAAATGAAGTTTAAGCGGGAAACTTTATCTGACATTATTTAAAGCACGTGTATTCATAAATACATTAATATAAATAAATTGCCGCTAATGTAAATATTAGCGACGTAAGGGCCAAAAAAATTTAATTTTTGAAATAACAAAAGGATAGATTATGTCATCTTATAGAGTGAATTTAGTGCTATACCAACCAAAAGTTTAAAGAAAAATTTGGAGCTGCTTTTGAGAAAATCTAGTTATCTGTAATTTTTTTAAATTGCAATTATTTAACTCAATATTGCTTGAAAACTACCAAAATTTTCAAAAAAGGTACCTGCTCTTAATGAAAGAACTCACTATGGAGAACAAATTGTATTTGAAGGAAAAAATCTCTATCTTTAATTTTGTAGTTGTAGGATGACGCTGTTGTTGATGTAGTTGAAATTTTGATTCGAAAATTCAGAGTGAAAAAAAATGAAAATCGGACCTGAGACAAGGTTATAAGTGTATTTTACTCTATTCTTACAAGAAATTTAAAGAAAATATTTGGAGCGGTTTTTGAGAAATTGTGAAAATGTCCTGTGGCTTGGTGTAAAGTAAAATTTTGAAGAATTTTTTAAAGAAAATCTCAAAGATCAACTCGAGCTAAATGGGGGGTTTCTTCAATTTGGAAAAAAATTCATGTACGGCTAGGAGTGTTGACAGACGGATAGACAAACTGACGGACGTTTAAAAACAACTTTTTTGGTATCAAGAGCCCTAAAACGTGTATTTCCGTTGAAATCTCAAAATCGATTTTCTGCAGCATTACATAACTATCCATATACAACGTTTATTACTCCGTAAATACGTACGTATGCGAGAAAGTAAAAATCGCATGTGACGACGAAAAGGCTCAATTTACTCAATTTTAGTCCAACATTTTTTGTCGCCCTTTACGTTTTGCTGCCGTAGGTACTTATGCGTAAATACACAGTAAACAGTATTATGCTACTTTCTGCAAAGAACGTAATAAGTATATTATGAAGCAAACATGAATGTGCATTCTGTTCCCGAAGCTAACTCATGCTTACTCCACAATGCCTCTAGAATATTTGGTAAACTATACCTCGACAATTTCCCCACACAATATTGATCGATTATTCGTTCGGAGAATTAAACTTCCGATTAGGGAAAATGTCTTCCAATGTTATAACTCTTTGCTCTACATACAGGATGCCTGCAGCTTCATTGCACCCTACCACTACTCTTCAGATCCCATAAACGACTTCTCGGCGGTGCTGCAAGAAGCTGACTTCCACATTCATTCCTGTCGCCTAGAGCGCGTCAGTTACAATTTTCCCACGATGCAGGCAATCTCAAGTAAGATTTTTTAACATACATACATTAATATGCACCGATAAATAGTTCTATATGTCTGAATGAATAAGATTCTATTTGACCATTTGGTGTATTTTGTTTTTTTTGGGGGGGGGTATTTATTTTGGTGGCATTTTGGGTTTGTTATGTTTTTTATTATCTGTCCTTTAACACACTAAACCTGTCCTTTAACACACTAAACCCTTCAAATCAAAGATAAAATACTTTTGGAATAAAATGAAACAATCCTACGTGCATTTTTAATATATTTATCAGCATATCCAAACTTTATGAATACTCTGGTAAACCATAATAGGTTGTATAATAAATGTAGTTTCATTATGCGCACGTTTTGATAAACACCCATTTTAGTTGTGATTGGGGTATATCCGAGGGTGTGGGTTATTATATTGTTAAGTAAGATATTTTAATCAACTATGTACAGGAAAAGAATGGGGAAGGGATTCTGAAGCTCTGAAAACGTGCCCATATTTGTACTTCTCCCCCCCCCCCCAAGTCACGTTCAGTTTTACAGATTTTTGTCGAAAAGCAAATTTAACTAGTGGTGCTACGGAATGGCACAGACATTCCCGTATTAATTTTCTATTTCCTTTCTCGGCTAACTATTTAAACTTGTCACATATTCTTGCTACATTCTGCCATTTATCGTCGCCCTAAAGAATTTTTTTAAATTCCTGGTTTTTTGAAAATTGCAAAAGTTCAAACATTTTTAGGAGTTTTCATTTAACTACACTATTGAAGATATTTTTTCCCTCTCCTCGTATCGTGGAGCGGTATAAAAATAAGACATGATCATATTTTTGGTGAACTCTCTGTATTTTTGAAAATTGCAAAACATCAACATTACAAAAGCGCGAAATTAAAGGTAGTGATTTTTGTCTTATTGGAATTTGTTCTTACATATATTTTTCAGAAAATTATGCCCAATATTTTATAAAAAAGAGTTAATCGTAATATCTGCTTGAAGTAACGTAGTTTATAAAAAAATGTCAAAAGAGCCCAAATGTTTCCATTAAACGAATGCCACGGATAGAAGATAAGATTGACGCAGATTGATGAACACTGAATTCTCGAAAAGTGCCAAGATGTTTAATTACAAAAATTACTGATGCTCAAGATTTTTATAAAGTGACATGTGTTTTTCAAAGTAATATTTTTCAATAAATTCAAGAATATTTTGGTGAATATGAGTGGTTTTGGGTACTTTTTGCAATTTTTTTAAACTGCAGTTTCGAATGTCCTGCACTTCTTTTGGTAGAATCTTTCAAAGTTATCACATTAGAATTGATCAATGGAAAGGCCGTGACACAACAGTATAATACTCTCAGAATAACTTTTCATTCATGGCGGGTTTTCTGGGTCTTTGGAATGTAGTTTTGGATTGTCGAATTTGTGATATACTAGTTTCAAGTGAATTAAATTTTCAATCCTAATGCGCTACGATTAGTAATTAGTTTTACAAGTGCTGGTGAAATGTGTTAATATGAATAGAAATTGCAGTATTATAGTTTTCTGTAACCGTCACTAATGGGAGAAAATACATGCTGCTGAAGTACCAGTAGTTTTGTTTCTTTGTATTGCATATGTACTGCAGGATATCAAAACAATTTTATACATACTTTATGTAAGGGAATTTTCAAACTTTCTAGACACACAAATGACGCCAAAACGTGCCTGGTATCGGTCATATTGAATCTTTCTTTTTTTGTAGCTTAAGACATTATTACAACTAAGACAAACACACAAGAAAATGAAAGGAATCAGTCAGACGATGGAAAAATCAAAGATAACTAGGTACACCATAATTAAAAAGGTATCACATATGTTTGTTTCGCGTAGTCGTCAAATGCGAAAGCAACCTTGCGTTTCTGACACTGCAATATATCGATGTAGTTGTGTTGTACAAAACAAATACTTGAAATCAAGTAGTTACAACATAACGAAGGTCTAATTTCTTGGGGGAAATTTGCAAATACAATTATAGATATATCACTTTTGCAGATGCTGCTATATCGTTGAATCCATTCCTGAAGAGAATTCCACAGGAACTGAAGACGAAGTTCATAGAAGACTCCATGACGGAAATCCAAAGGGAAATGTCAAAGGTTCTGTCTGTAAACTTCAACAAAAACTTCGAGCGGAATAACAAAACGTGGTCTTATTCACTTATAACGGCTCATGTGGAGAAGATAGCAGCCTCGTAAGACTTCACCAAGAATTTTTCCTCTCTTGCCCGACAGAAATGCAGTGCATTCGCATGAATTCATTTCATTAGCCAGCATTACCCGGAGACCCAGTTTGTTTATCACTTTTCGCCTCTTCCCCAGCACACCCTCTGACCGGGAGGTCCTAGTTTCGACACCTGGCAATGGCAGGATTTTCGGCACTAGCTACATAGCTAGATGGAATTTAGCCTCTGACAAGGAGAGGATTCTAGCGGTCCCTGCTCTGATCAGTAGTTTTCCGTGGTTTCTCCTGTCAAAACCAGGCAAATACCGGGACAGTATCCCAACAAATGGGTCACGGACCGCACGCGATCTTTCCTTCCTTTTCTGTGTCCAATCCTCGCCCCCGCTGCGCTGGAGCGGTGCCCTGCTCTGGAACATTCTTGTCTGGTGAAAACCCCGCAAGACGACGTATGTCACCGCCGGATCTCGCCATCTAGAAATAGGAAGATCACCACCACCACCTTCCGCGATAAAACATGCACCACACTTACGGGATGACCGACCTTAGCCGGTCACATGACTCAAATCATTAACTAATCAATTAATGAAATTATCCGGGCTCCAGACCTCCTACTCTCCTTTGCATCTCGATGGACTGATTGATTAGTGACTCCGGTCAATTACAAAGGTCATTAATCCCGTAAGTGCAGAGCATGTTTTCCTGGGAATGTAGCGGAGATCTCCCCCCACTGAATGGTGAGATCTAGCGCCAACCTTCCTACGCGGGTTTTCCCCAATCAGGTATCTCCCGCCAGAGTGGCAGCGCCCAGCCGGGACAAGCTCTAAGCTCCTGGCCGGTGTGCCGGCATGTGTGGCCGAGTTGTGGGCATGGAAGTCCAGTGTGCGTAAGTAAGGGGTGAGGATAGGACAAGGAAAAGGAAGGAAAGATCCTGTGCGGTCCGTGGCCCGTTTGTTAGGGTACTACTCCGGCATTCGCCAGGAACTAATCGGAGAAAACACGAAAAATACCGATCTGAGCAACCGGCCACTAGAAATCTCCTCCAGTCAGTGCCTGAATTCGACGTCGCTACCTAACTCGTGTCGAAACGTCTGCCGTCGTCGTGTCTCGAACCGAGGAGCTGATGCGCTGAGGCTGCGCGTCGAGGCGCGTGCTGCGGCGTGCGCCGGGCGAGCTGCATTCGCTCCGCGGAGATCGCGCTCGCAGTGGCGCAGGCGCGGCGGCGGCGGCGGCGGCGGCGGGGGCGGCGGAGGCGGCGGCGGCGGGGGCGTCGCGGCGCCGCTCAGTGAGGGCGACGCCGAGGTGCGGGCGCGACGCCGTCAGGGAGCGCTGAGCCTCCTCCACTGTCGTCGCAGCCGCCGCCGCCGCCACCGCCGCCCACCGCGAATGTAAGTGCTGAGCGTCAGCGGCGTTAGTGGCGGATGGAGTGTAAGGGGCAGACACGACAAACTCATTTTCGCGAACAGAGGGACGGGAAGACACTCTTAAGCGACATCGGCTTTTAAAGAGTTTAACAGCTGCTTACAACAACCGGAAGAAATGAGTTGTGTCAAATTATGATTTAAGGGTGATGCTCTTCAAAGAATGAGGCATTTCTTTTCTTTCTTTCTATTTTTTAAATTTTCTTAAAATACTGCGTTAACACGAACACGAAAGCTACCCCCTCGGTTTGCAAACTTTAACAGCGTCTGTTATTCCGTTCTAGTAATTCTAATGGAGTATCCATACTGTTTCTTGTCGTTATATGTGCTTGAAATATTCTATACATGTGTTTGCAAAATAAAATTGCATTTAAGAAATTGTGTGTAATGATTTGTACAAGGATGCACATAGGCACAAAAGTTTGGTTGACACATTTTGTATCGCGATTCACGTTCTTATTTAACTATATGTATTTGTTACTACCTGTGTGACACTTTCTTTTCTACCTTCATGTTTTCCTCTGAGATACAAAAAAAATATCAGTATCAAAAACTCAGTAGCTATTCTTGCCAAAAAGATGTTTTTCTTTGGGGTCTAAGGTATAAGCGTTTAAATACGCCCTGAAACAATGACCGTATCTAGTAATGTGTTTCATTAGGAATGAATAAGGTGGCCTATGCGCTTCTTCTATAACTTATTTTACACCGAAGAACTCAATGCGTATGTCTTGTGGACGTGCGCTAAAGAAGAACATAATAAAAGACCAATTTTGATCACGCTCACTGAGACATTGGTAACTCCTGTTATGCAAGGAGCTACTGAAAATCTACATTTTCAAATTATGATAGGACAACCATTGCACCGTGCCTCATAACTGAAGATGCGCAGAGGAGCAGCATCGTCATTAGGATGAAACACACTAATGAACACGTGGAATATGAGTGTGCACTAGGCACACACACCCACAAAACTGTTTTCTACTGTGCAAAAATTGCTATCACAAGCTTACCACTCGTGGTAAAGAAACTTTGTGAAGTTTCAATACATATTGTACGTAAATGTAAAGAATTGTGGTAGTATACATTAAACTAATAGATAATATATGAATACTATGTTGAAAAAAAAGTATAAGTTTTCCAGTAAAAATGTTGATAGTAAATGGAAAAGATAGTAAGGTTCGGAATGTTACCCCATCAGCACTCTCACTTTATTAGACCTTGGAGAGTTAATCTTAATAAGTGGTATGATATATCTATAGTTAGAAACCTCGTGGAAGAATATTCAATAAAAACGGCTTTATAATTATTACCATTATAATTATGTGATTTTTTGGTAACAGCGACAAATATTTATTTTGCCTTTTATAATAAAAACTATTTTTTTGATCATTTGCTATTTGGATTGTTTCTTTTAATTTTGCTCAGGTTTGTTTATGTTTGCAAGGAATACTATTTTATTCATTTATCTCGAAAAAAAAAGCACAAAACATTAATAACTTATGAGTGGAATAGTTTGTAATCTTCTGGAAATCCACTTTATTTTAGAAATTGAATTTGTGAAAGATTCTTATTTTTATTTTGGTGTGATCGGGACTATATTTTCTTTCAATCCCAATTTTTAAAAAGTAAATATTGTTATTGAAGAAACTTACATCAATGTTTGAAAACATTGTTTGGTTATATTTTGTAACTAATTTTCTCCTCTTAAATAACCGAAATGTAAGAAATTCTTGAATTTTTGTAAATACTGACAGAATTTTTAATTCAAAGTTCTTTGAGTTTAGTAAAGACATAAAATAGCATTTATTGTGCAAATATAAGAAATAATACTTTATTCGGTTGTTATGTTTTTATTTTGCAGACTTCTTTCTTTCGTTCAATGATGGTGATTAAATTTCGAGCAAATTACTTTCTTGCAATAATATTTTTATTTTTTTATTTTTTTTCTATTTTATTTATTTCTTTTCGGTTTATCTTTCATGTCCTAAAACTGTCCGCAAAAATTACATTAAATATTTTTTACATTTTAAAAACATTCGTTTTAGACAAATTTTCTCATTTGTTTTTTTTTTCGTGTTATACTAATGTCCCTTAGTTTTTGCAATTGCATTGAATTCACTTAATGACGTGATAAAAACTATTCTTACATCCTTTATAAATCTGCATCATATCTTTTCATATTTGCTAGACTGAAAATTGTCTTCCACTTAAACAATAGCTTAAACCATTGATAATATTTGATCAAAAATAATCTATTCCTCACAACTTTCTATATTTCATGTGTCTTAATACTCACTTTTCTTCAGGCTAGAAAAAAAATCACAATTACGATAAAGACTGCTTGCTTGGTGGCCGTTGGCTCCAAACGTGCATATATAAAATGTAAAGAGGTTTTCTTCAAACTCGCAAAGTTTCGGGTGGAGCCATATCTACAGGCGAATATCAATTTTGAAAAAAAAAACTACGAATAGTTCAGGCGGTAGTGTAGTTCCCAGACGGACAAAAAGACAGACATAGGTATACGAGTAAGTAAACTTGTATAATGATGTAATAGTAAACAGATTTGTAACTTTTCATTACGAGTATTTTTTTCGCATTCTCTAAAATCAATAATCCTTATAAAAAGTGCAAGTATTACGAAAAAATATCAAACTCCATCGGTGATGTGGTCATTAAATGAAAGATGAATGAATACTCGTTGTAACAACTTTTAGTGGGAACAACAAATCGGAAAGTTACACAGGAAATAAATTCGACCACTGACCGCTAAAATGTGACCGCTTGGCCCTGGATCTCCGTACCCAACAAGTTTAATGATTGTTTTCACTGTGGTTTTACTAAGAGTAAAAATCGGTTAAAGTGAATCGTTAATTTTAAAATAATTAAATCAACATTCCAATTTCTTTTAATGTTGGAATAATTTTGGTTGTAATGCTCATCATTTACATTCAATGTATGTTTTTATTTTCATGTATGAATTCTTAATATGCAGTATTGAATACATTAGTAATGAAAACCACGTAAAAATATGTTTTAAGTAAGTGAGAAAGTCTCCCTAGTATTGTAAGTGTGAACAAATAATTTGAAAATAAAGCACAAGAAATACACGTTTATTACATTTTATCTTCATTTACTCATACGTCATTTACAAACTTTTGGAGATTTTGGCATTTATTGAATTACCAGTACTAATGCTCAAAACATATCAGCAAATAAAAATAAACGAATAATAAAAATCGTTCCTAGTTTGTTTAACAAATCACGAATGTAAATATGGCGGCTCTGTATGCAATTCCGAGATTTCAGATATATCAACGATTTTCTGTATTTTTCCCAACGCAATGAATGTATTTCAATCTCAGAATGTTGTTCACTAATTCTCAATTCACGTATTGCAGTAGTGACGAGATAAATAATTAACCAATTATGTTATATTGTCTTCCCTAAGAGAACTTCAACCTTATTATTAATATACTATATCGATTCAATTCAAAGGGAAAAATCTATAAAATTTATGTCATTGTAATGTTTTAATCACGCATACACTCGTAGAGTTACTCGTGGTATTATAATAATGAAATTCAATTTTACTCTTCATAAATTAAAGTGTTATCCTTTCATTCTAAACTACTTTCTATCACCACATAACTGAATAACTTTCCTATCCTTCAGTTGTTTCTTTTTTTAGATAACTCATTAATGTCAACTACAATACCTTGTATTTTAACAAATAAGCTCTCTTTACGATTCAAAATATTTTAATGATTTAGTATTCCAAACAAGTATCTGATCAATGTGCTCAAGAAAAATTCTAACACATTGTTCACCTCGACTTTAGCTACACACGGAAAAAATTCAAAAAACTAACAAGTACGTTTGTGCCAGTAACCATCAACTTGTTGCAAGGACAACCGGACTCCACGCACGTTGATAATGATTTTTTTTTTAAGGTCTCCTTTCATATTTGCTGTTCACCACAATAATATTATTTTATCCAAACAGTCCATGGAATGTTCAACTCCGTGATGTAGTGTTTCTTGCAGTTACACCCAATTCGTTCGAATTATGTCTACCTTCGTTGATATTTACAGTTTTGATATCAGAGCGGTTGAACAATGTTATCATTAATTTATAATATTACCTCAGCTGAAACTACTCGAACAAATTATTTTCTTTAACCAATTTTTCTAATACTCTTAATTACATCTGTCTACTACTCATCCTATTCGCTTTCATTTTAATGTTGAATTTCTTTCAACTTTTCATTACACCTGTAAGTACGGATTTGCTCCCACCACGTCTCAAGATCCCTTCAGTTTTTTTAATCTTCATCTACACAAGAACGTTTGCGTTCTGTATTTATGCCAGGGTCGCGCTTCACATGGCCTGGAAATTCCCTAGAACCTGTCTTCCCGCCGTAAGTGTGGGACTGGGGGCAGCAGGGTACGCTCAATACATGTCTATGGGCCACTGCGGTACCGATGCGTAGTCGTGGTCCATCCTATGGCGTATCGCCGGCCAGCATGCAAGGGTGGGTGAGAATTTGAATGAACACTCCAAATATATTGCTCCGTCAGCCATTTCGTTGATAGAGGGGAGGAACAATGAGAATTGCTATGGATTCCGCGGCTAGGAATTTTGCCACTTTCTACCGGTGACAGATCTTTTTAAGACTTGTATGATGATAAAGACAATGTGAGAACAATCACATAATAAGAGATTTTTTGGGACTTCGAAAGAGAGAAAGTTTTAGCCTATTGATATAAATTTTGTACCTACTAAGAGAGTTCAGTTAATATATATATTCCTTCTAATTTAAACACTACTTATCAGCCGAATACTTATCTCCCTATTTAAAAAATTAAATTTTCATAACATGCCTATCAATATGTATCCTTCAAAATACAACCTTTGCCTCGGAAAAATAATAACATGAGGAAAACTACTTACTAAAAGGAAAATCTTTT